AATATTTATAAGATAATATTTAACAGTTTGTAGCAATAAACTCTTCAGAATAAACACCATTCTAATTTACGAGTTTACTCAAAAATCTTTTAATTTTTGAGCAGTAGAACTGAATTCCACCAATTTTGCACTAAAATCGGTTCAAATTTTAAAAAAAAGAACTCCAATAATTTTTTCTTACGACAATAAAATTTTTGCCAATCAAAACAAAAAGTCAAACTCGATCATTGAGACGTTTCATTTTACGGAAAAACCAAAAATGGAAATATTTTCCTTTTGTGTTTCTTAATATAATAGCACTACGTCAAATCAAAAATCATAAAAGAATCTGTAAAATTTATTTTATTTCTTTTCTTTTAATTAATGTCTTTTTACTAAAAGAAGCATTTCTTCAAAATCAATTACTCCTTTATCACGAATTTCTAGAAGTACCTTACTGTGCCAATTGAAATTTTTTTCCTCATATATTTTTCAAAGAAATGGAAGTTGAACGCCGATCTTTTCACTGTTTTTATAAGTTGAAGCAAAAGGATGACTTAAAACATCGCCTTCTGGATTCTTTTCGTTCCGACTTTCTTAAGCGGTCACTGAGATATCATTTGACTGATAATAATTTAGCAATTTATTTTGCCGAAATTATCCGATATATTTCTACTTGAAAAAATAAATAATCAAACCATTTGTTGCGGTGAATGAAATAATCGCCTTTTTATTCATTGCATCGTTTCAATTAAGCAAGTCAAGCAAATAAGGCAAACAGATATATACCAAATAATACGTTAATAGTGACAACTATGCTGATATTATCTTTCTTCCCTTCTCCACCATTCTCATGAGATTCTCATGAAAATAGCCACACTTACAGAAATCTAAAATGAAAACCGCTATTGCAAATTGTGAGACTTATGAAGAAAAAAACTGACATCTTCAATTATCCTTCTCAGTTGAAACCTGTGGTTCCAGTAGCCTGCGGAATCATAATGTCACATGTATACAATTTTCCAAAAAAATCCAATTCACTAAACAATCGCCGATCAAGGTTGATAAATTTAGATTTAAACTGTGCGATGCGAGATAAAGTAATGATGATATTGGTCAAATTATAATTTTATATATAATATATATATATAAATTATGAAAAAAAATTTGCTTTAAGTTTCCCTTGAAAAAAATGCACTTTCAACTGTGCACCTTTTTATAATCTAACCAGCATCATCAAAGATCCTTCTTTCTGCTGGAAGTATAAAGTTCATCCATGGATTTCCACCCCTTTTTATTAAATTTCTCGTACTTTGGTCAAATTAGGTAAAAAGTAGTCAATGGTCAGCATCATTTCTGCTTTGCCAAAGAGTCATATTTTCTCATATTTTGGCGATAGAAGGATAGATGGATTGCTCGAACCATTCGGATTTTTTGATGACTGCTTCTGTGGACCAGAGAACCGATCCTAATGATTGATTCGAATGAAAGCAATCATATCATCCGGCCACCCTTGCTCCATTTATATCAAATCGAATGATAGGAAGAACATTTTTGAAATTAAATCTGAGAAAATATTTCGCAAAGTTTTGGAAAAGAATTTTCTTTATTTCCTATTTTCATTTTTTTCTTTTCTTCATATTTCTTTATTTCCTATGTTGCTATGTTTGATTCTTTTTTTTGTGAGGTTTTTTTCACAAAATTTCTATCTTCGCAATAGTGAGTAAGGTCAAGCCATCATATGATTCTTACCTCTCAATCTGAATACTCTAACTGAATGATCTCATCCTAATAGCCAAACTAGAAATGATGAACGCTGTTTTTTTCTTGAACCCCACCATTACTGGTTATACTGCCTCCACTGGCTTGTTGCACTGAACAAATATGCCAGGCAGTCCTATGACAATAGGAATACATAAGTCACAATATCAGCCCAAATTTTTGAGCATACTCTTGCGAGAAGCAGAATCGGCTTCTGCATTGGCGTTCCGAATTGAGCAACAACCCATTCCACACCCTCAACCTTGACAGATGACGAGTAAGAATGATAAATGAAAAAAAAAAAACATTCGTTGGATATTGACAATATTTTCAATAGATAAGGTATAGATCGACCTAATACAATTGGAATCTATTGCAGTTTTTAATTAATTCGGCCTTTTTGAAGCAAAGAAAGTATAATATAATTGAAAAAAATTATAAATTTATTTGCAGCATTTATTCTTCATAATCCTGATTAAACAGTCATCAAATATGATATTTTTTGAAAATTTTTGAAGTAATATAAATTTTTTCGGCTGACGGCCAAGCGATATATGAGTTTAGGCGGTGGAAAAAGCACTTCTGTTATTTTTTGGCACAATATCGCGAAGCTTGGGGACGTCTCACCCTGACAATCAGATGCCAGTCTAATCGATAACGGTAGTAGTTATTAGGAATAAAATTCTTTTATTTAACAAAATATAAAATCAAATTATTCTTTTTTTTTAATAATGTGGGTGGAAATAATGATAAAACGCTTTTAACCCATAAAACTTTCTACTTGCAAAAAAATGTTATCAATTGGGCTTTTTGATGTGCAAAATTTCATCGTTGAACGGTATTATCATAAATTTTCCTACCAATGAAAGCCTAAGCTTCATCTTCGCTACGCTTAACTTTACCATGCTTCATATATATTTTCAATGACTTTCCAATGGCTGCATCAGTTTTGTTTAAATAAGCTTCACCGAAAACGTTTATCAACAGCATAAATGGCCGCACAATGAATTCTGGTTTATCTCATGCTTGAAATTTCAAAAATACTTAAAATGAAGCACCCATCATCCCTGAAAAATAACACTCTTAATTAACTGATTAGTATTCATCCTCTACTTCCACTCCATTTTTCTTCTCAAACCAATATTCTCCTTAAGAAATTTAGTATTCATCCTCTACTTCCACTTCATTTTTTCTGTGGTGGTAAATTGTTTTAAATATTTGTTGCCTTTGAGGTAATGAAATGGGGATATATTCTGAAGAATCGAAGAAATTTTTTTGATCTTTCATGCTATAAATTATAGATATAAAAGTTCTCCTTTGGCTGCATTTTATTTGTAAATAAATTTCTTAATGGATGTATTTTTTAATTTTTCCATCTGCAAGCTCTTTGAATCCTGTTTATAGACTTTTATGATCTTCAATTTATTAGTTTGCACCGATTTTAAGAACGTGCACCCGACAGTTTGCACGTTCTTGAGAAAGATCCTTAATCCTTAACTTCTCATCAGGTTTTCGAATGAATCCATAATTGTCTCTAGCCTCTCAAGGGAACCAGGATTCAAAGATGGAAAATTAAGAATTATTATAAAAAATACTTTAGTGATGCTGATGAAGTAGTCGTTTGGAAAGAAAAAAGATGCGAAAATTAACAAAAACATCTGAACTTGAACTGATTAATTTTAGCCAAAAAATTTAAGATTTTCGTAATGCTGGCACAAAACAATTTGTTGTTTGAATGCTTTTTTTTGGTGCTTAAGTTTAATCAAACCTATCCTATTTTTTATATTAGCGTTCTCCTTATTGTTCTTGTTCTTGTTACAGCGTGATATTATAAACTCAAGCACATGGTTTGTTTGATATTTGTTTAAATAAGTTAAATCTAGTTTTGCAAATTGTAAATTACAAATAGCAATATAAGTTTTGCAAATGTAAATGACGAAAAAATTTTGTCGAATATCATAAATGAAACAAAAGTTATCTCTGAAATTTGTCTATTTTTATTCTAAAAACTTTGATAAAAAGTTTTTTGAAAAGTAAGAGTGATTAATGAGATTAATCATAATTAATCAAAATTATTTTAGCATTCACCTGAAACGCAATTCGTTCCTTCAAAAATAGAAAATCATAAATTTTCAAGTAAAGTTTAGAAAGAAGAAAATATCATTTGTATGCATGTATGTATAAATTTATGGATTCATTTTTTAATGTTTATGATGAAAATATGAATAAGATTACTGAAAAAAATCAGAACAAAATTTTACACGAAATCAATTAGAACATAATTTGAAAAATCTTCTGAAAATTTAATAATAACAATACTATAAAGTTGAATAGTTTCTTTGTTAAGATATAAAAATAAGATGTTTCTTATTAAAATTATTTTCGTCGTCCACCAGCATGAGTGCATAGCAAAATTTAATGCAGTAGTTAAAATTTCGTAATTTTATATTTTTAGGAGGATTTTCTTGTTTTTCTATTTTTTAGGAAGTTTATCGTGATTTTGTATTCTCAGAAATAGCACAAAAAATGAAATAAATAAATTTCCTATCTTTTAGAGAGAATTGGTTTCAAAGGAATTTGATGAGAATCTGGCAATATGAAATTTATTTTTCTCGTCCAGAAATTGATGCTTGTAGACTAATTTTGGTGCATAATTTCGCTTCATTAATCATAAGACAGTAATGCCAATTTTGCGACTAAGAAATCGATATAACAATGACAACTTATGCTTTTTTCTGCAATATATTTTTTCCTTTATCGTTTTCACAATTTCATTAAAGCCATAACAGGATCGAAAAGCCAAGGTTAATAATCTGTGATTAATAATGGAGAAATTTCCATACAGCCTAGAAATGAGATTTTCAGCGGAAACTTCACGTCTTCACATTTTCAACTTATTTCGGATTGAGTTGCAGCTTGGTGATGACCAATATTTAAAACTGAAGAGAATAATCATCCAACTATAGTACAATAGAAAAATCTTAAAGTCATTTGGTTGAAAAAAGCGGAATCTCAATCATCGAAAGACAGAATTCTCCTTGATTTATTAGTTTATTGGAATTATGCATCATATTAGCGAAAATGAGTTGCAACCTAGCGATCGACAAAAGCATTTAATTTTTTATATTAATCACCTCCGACTTTGAGATAACGCTTTTTCTTTCCAAAAGATCATTGAAATATTGCGAGGATTATGCTAACGTCCATAGATTAGTTTTGGAAAAAATCATGAACTGAATAAATAATCGACGAAAAATTTTATGAAGTACCAAGTTATTTTGATTGTTCTCTATAAATCGTCATCATGTCAAGCGGAAGGAAATACGGCAATTGATTTCGTCCTACACAGTGTCGCTCAAAGTTCAACAAATGAATGACACAAAATTCATTATTAAAAAAACTATGGAGCAACCATAAAAGAAAACTAAATTTGGACCAGTTTTCGCCGCTCTTCATAATAAATACTAAGATTTCCGAGATTGGTTATTAGAATCAAAATTGAGCCTTAGCTATAACATATGCAATGCCTTTACTGCTGTATATTCTGCTTGCTGCTGCGCACGGTTAATTTATTATTCTTAATGTTTTTGCTTCATCATTCTATTAACTTTTTATACTTCAAACACTATTGCTTTCCTCTTGGTCTTTGCATAAAAATCTCTCTATTTCCATGATTTTTACTATTTCTTGCGATTTTACATTGGCTAATGCTTTCCATTTCATAGCGCAATAATGGTAGCAAAAAATCTTCAGTAGAAAAGTTCTTGTTAAATTAATCCCAATCAAGTCGTTTTTACGTTTTCGTGTTCACTTAATTTCTTTTAGGTTTATTGGCAGACAACTGTCCCGATGGATGGAATTACAATAGCACTTTTGGTAAATGCTATAAATTATTTGCTGCTGAAGAAAAGTGGCCGATGTCTGAAATCGTTTGCGCTTTCCGAGGAGCGCATCACGTATCAATACACAACAAACTAGAAAATAATTATATAAAGAGTATTGTGAAAATATTCTCGAAATTTTTTCGATATAAAGAATAATTTCGTTTATTTTGATTAAACAACATTTGATTTCTTTTATATCTTTTGCTAATCGTTGATCATCATTCTACGGGGACTTCATAAAAAATTTTGGTGCGCGAAAGCATAAGAAAATCTTAGAAATTCATTAAAAATTTAGAAATGGTGACTTCACAATCGTCATCAGACAATCTTTGGCTTGGAGCAGCTCAGTTTGGTACATCAAAAGAATATGAATGGTCGGATCATACACCATTTAATTTTGAAAATTGGGAAACAAGTTCGTTTTTCGTCCAAACTTCGATAGGTCGAGTAATCCAATAATCGATAATTCAATCTACCAAAAATTGAAAAATTGAAAAAAAATTTCATTTTTCTACAAAATTTTGTTAAAATTTAGATCATGATTTTTTTAAAATAAATATCCATCTTTTAATTTATTTCAAATTTCAAAATTTAGAAACTCGTCCACCGTATACGAAAGCAAAGCGATGTACTAAAATGAATTTGACTACAGGAAAGTGGTATCAAAGTTGTTGCAAAATTCCATCTCCATATATTTGCCAGAGGCCAGCTGGTGTAGTCACAGGATGAAGAAAAATTTTTTTCTAAAAAATAATATTCCATACTTTAAGATGAAATATATGCCACCATTATTAATTATCACATTTTAATTCTACAAGTCTGGAATTTTCTATTTTTTTTTGAAATTTTCTTAATTTATGTAATAACACTTATAATACTGCGCATTTTCATCGTCAGAAGTAAAATTTCTAGGTATTTCAAAGTTTTAACCAGATCTTTCTATTTTGAAGATTCTGTGCTTAGTTTCATTTTTAACTATCCAGCTAAAGCGTAGACAGTATAATACTTTTTTTCAATTAGTTTATTCAATCAGTCAATCAAATTTCATTTGCAGCCTCTCAGTTAAAACTTAGCTCAAATTTATATTTTCTTGGAATTAATCTTCAAATCTATTATTATTGTTATCGTTCATTGATTCCAAACAAAATTAATTTTTTTGCGTATGGATACTTCTTTTCCAGATTTTCTTATGTATAAATAAATAAATAAATATAATATATCTATATATTTATAATCAATTTTTTATGAATGACCATTCGAGAATTGTTCAGAGGTTCTTTGACAAATAATAGATTCAGTTGACCATTCAATGATCTCCTATTTTTTTTGTTTATTATTTTATGTAGGAAGTCAGATGAATAAAATTTTTTTGTAATTTGGTTATTTTTTTAATTTTTTTGTCCATGTTTTTACAGGTTCGTAGCACGGCATTAACAACAAACAAACAAGAAGATTTGTAGAAATAATGTAAAAAAAGGAAACAAATTTTTAACAATTATTTGAATGAGCTAATTGTAGATGCCAATCTTTTGCAATTTTTCAGCTTTTGCAATTTTTATTTTTTAATTCATGATTCATTAGAAATTGCGAATAACTTCCAGTATTAATGTGCCAAAGGTGGTCTTCTAAAATAGATCGATATATCTAATGTACCGGAAATGGACAATTAATCTTAAAATTGGAATTTTTCGATGTTTAAAAATATTTTTTGGTACAAAAAAGACACACAATAAGAACCCAAATTCATTAAAAAAACAACAGTAAGTATAAAAAATTCAAAAATTTAGCATTCAATTGATAAAACTTGTTTGGCCTGTTTCCGAGCAGATTTCAGATTCTTTTATACATCTCTAATGAATCATATCAATCACTTTCATAAGACTGAGTAGCTTGGAAACTCTTTGTAGCCAGCAATAATGTTGCCAGCCGTTGGAAAGAGGAAAAAAATCAGAAATCTAATCAAGCTAAGATCTGAGTCTTTCTTTCCTACAAATTGCTTTAAATTGTTATCGATCATCAATAATAAGTTTCGAGGACTGCAAATTTAATAGAATTTGCAAATTTAATTAACGTTTGCATACGTCAATAAAGCACTTTTCGAAGGATTTGAATGGATAATCCAAGATTTCTCCTAAAAAAAACTTCTAAAGTGTTTTCGTGAAGGTCTGAAAACTCGTTTTCACCGATAAACACTTTACATTGCTGCTATTTAGATTGCTTTAAAGTAAAATGAAAAATGAAATGAATCGTTACAAAAAAATTATTATTGTTGCACTGAAATAAATAATAAATAAATCGCGGAAAGATAAGTGATAGATAGCGTTATAAAGATGAAAAATTGGAAAATTTATCAAAAATGTCAATGGCCTTCAGTAATTTTGCGCTGATCTAAAATTTTTAATCATTCTACACTAATCGAAAAAATAATTTTTAAAAAAGATTGGAAAATTCTTTTTCCCTTTCAACATGCCATTATGTATGGCATAAAAAAGTTGGTCTCCTCATCCTTTGAAGGAACCAAGCCGCAAACTATTAGACTCACTAAAACTGAGAAGGGTTAATAAGGATTTGATTTAAAATAAAATTTTATACATGAAAAGTATTAAGGAAACCATTATCTGTTTTAGATAACTAATGAATGAGTCCTATTTTTTTTAACCGAAATATTTATTATCTCATGACCTTAAAGTTCCAAAGCTTTAGCCTTGATTGTGATTTGAGTTCCAAGGTCCAAATCGTTATTCCGATTTAAAATTCTAGAATTAAAATCTTCATTTTGATCTAGTTCACGTCAACTTATTTGTAATTTATTATTTGCCTACTAAAGGCAAAAGGAATGCTGCTTAATTATAGCAAAAGTAAACCTATCATTAAAATCCGAATAATTCTAGCGACTCATCTGCACTTTTTTCGCCAAGTGATTCCTGAGCAAAAATTTCTAATAGCACTAATAGCTAGAGGAACGAACTTAACCAGAAATGGCAACCCGTTATACACTACAACAAATAATTCTAGGACTGAATTCTATTTCCTCAAACCGCAAAGTAATTTTTAAATTTTTAAATTCAATATTTTTTTTAAATTTTTTTTTATAAAATCACATAATTTCATCCACCTTCATTAGAATTAATCTTCCAAAAGCAGTGGGTGAGCGGTCGGTTATTGGAAAATTTGAAACCGACACAAGATTTGAACATAAGACATAAGCATTTGACAATTTTATTTAATTAATAATTAATTAATAAAGAAATAATTTTTTTTCTACCTCGTAAAATTTAAGCAAAGTACATAACAATAATCACTGTTAATTTAAAATAAATTTTTATAAATCAACCTTTTCAATAATTTTGGACTGTTGTTTTCGACACCTAGTTTCCACCAGAACTTAGAGTGTCCTCATTTAGATGAAACTCGAATTCGAATTTTTGAGAGATTATATAAGATGGTTCCTTGTTGCAGTCATTGTATAGATAATGAAATGCATATATTCCTGAAAAACTGAAAAATTCTATATATATGATATATCTAATAACTCATTAAGCCTTTTTATTTTTCCTTAAAGCCACATCAGATTCCAACTTTGCCTTGTGGCGCAAATATACAAAGAAGTTTAATGCGATGTTAAATATAAAAATAGCATAATGTGGCTTCAAGAGACATTAAAAGAGCAAAAGAATTTGAAAATGTATCCAACCAACATTACAAGGGAGAAAAGAGAACGCAAAAAGATATTAAAAAAGGATGAGTTAAGAATTTTTAGCAAGCACATTGATGTTGCAATTTCTAGACCATCTTCTCCACCTGGAAAATAATTTAAGCAAATAATTTATGGTTACGTGGTAAGATTTGAAAAGATGATATGAAAAGAAAAGGGTATTTTAAGACCAAATAATAGGATTTGAGGGAGGGAATAAGGTTGTTTTTCAGTCGTCTTTTCCTTGCAGAGATACAGAGATCTAGTAAATCACTTTCATATATTATATATTAGTATAATAAAAATAACCATCATATGAAAGAGTAGAATTTTCTTTAAATCTCAGCATACTCTTTGATGTCCTCTCTATATACTAAAGTCATGGTATATATACTAAAGTCATCCAAATCCTAATATCTCTCAAATCATCAGTTCCTGCTATATTCGTTCGATATCACTAGTCACCACATTACACCTCATGCGATTTCATAATTGCCGCAAAAGTAAAAGCGATTTATCGTCGCTAAGAGAATGAAAATGGTGATAGGTGGCAATAAGACACTACCACTAGATTTGCGACGGTTAAAAAAGTAAAAAGAAAATTAGAAGAAGAAAATGGTGTCATTGATGGATTATGGCAAAAGAGTATGGCGAAACTTTGGGTGTAAGAAATACTTCAGAGGTGTTTCCAGATGAAGAAATTTTCATAAATGATGAGAGATATTGGAGGACCAAAGGACGACAGACCGTAATTTCATAGATTTTTATGAAACATCTGTCTTGAAAAATTTTGTTAATTCAGAAAAAAGAAATAAATTAAATAAATTGAAAGAAGTGACTTGTGACTCGTCGACGGTTTCACGAATTTGCGTTGAAATATGCAACTAATTATAGATTTTATTAATACCAATTTCAAATACCAATATAATAGACGATGTGCAAAATTAATATCAATTATATAACGAATTGAAATGTAGAATTACAATTGAAAGGTTGGATTAAAAGTGAAGTTATTGTAGAAACCGACTGAGAAAATAAAATGATGGGCAAAAACCTTATCCAATACGAACATTAACAAAAAAAACAAAACTGATCAAATAAACACACTTTGGCCTTTGTTCTTGTAGAAATTAACAAAATAAAACCGACTTAAACGCATAATTTCTTTACAAATTAATAATATTCACAAAGAAATTTCAAAAATATCTGATATAAGCTTATTTACGATTTTAAGCATGGAAAAATGCTTGTTTGGTTTTTCTGGCAGGGTTAAAGAACATATATAACAGAATTTTTGTGATACAAAATGCTACTGCAGTTTAGGAGAATTTAAGGAAATGCTATAAATGGTTCAAAAAATGTCAAAAAGAATGTCAATGTCTATAAAAAGGTGTTCTGACACGAAATTTATGACCATTAACGAAAAAATTTTCAGTTAACTTACCACCAAATTTAGGAATGGTCATATTTCATGAATTTCAGTCAAAACAACGTTAAACAGTCAATTAATCAACAACGATAGATCTATGAAAGGAGGAACAGAATTCCACAAATACAGTGAATATGATGTGTTAGCAGCCGAAACTTCAAATAGCCGAAACAATTGAAATTATAATAAATGGTAAAAAATAATGAAATTCGAAAAATCGAACTCTTGAGCAACTATTTCTTTATTAGCAAATAGTAATAGTTGTGCAAAAATTAGATTAAATCTGTATTTTTTATAATTGTAAAATATAATATAGTATAATATATAGATATTATAAGTCAAAATTGGAATTCATCCAAATCTCGCTGAAACGCCATTTGTTTAAGAAATACTTGGAAAAATCATACCAGAATGGTATTTTTTTCATATTTTTGTTAAATTTAATTATTTGCCTTCTTCTACCAGTTCCGCCAGTCCCATTGGCTTATAGAAGGCAAGATAGCACAGTAGTTGTTGCTTGTTTTGAGGAGTTCGGATCCTACATTATTCGATAGCACTGAATCAGTCATTAAAAGATGCATCTGGCAACTAGTCTATATACTTGTATCGCAAAGTGAGACCCTCACAAAAATTGCCCGTCTTACTTGCAGTCAGTGAAAGCCTACTCAGAAATGATGAGCAGTAATTACTGCAACCACTGGTCATTTGGTTTTCTTTCGTTATAGAGTCATTTGGATGGAAACAGAAAATAGAATTTAATCTTCAACCTGAAATCAAATTTAATATATAGATAGGATTTTAAATGTAGAAAATTGATTTGATATTGAATACTTCTGGTAGTTACATAAGCATTATGTAAATATGACTAGTTAGTAAATAATTAAGTGGTGTTTTATGTTAAACCAACTAATTTCGCTTGACATAGAATAAATATTTTCCTTTAAATTTCTCATAGTTTTTTATTGTTTATTATTGTATAACTTAAATTTTTGATAATCTCATACCACTTTATACCATTTCCGGTTAAGCTTCCTCCGATGGTTTAGTAGGGATTAACGACAAGATCACTTGGCAACAAAATTATAGGGTCTCCGGCAATTTTATGCTCCTACAGGAAGTGAAAGCGTAGATTAACCGTTCTGAAATGAGAGCAACAATTCACTAAGCCATTATACTTTCTATGGTTTGAATTAGCTTGTCACGCTTCGAAAAACAATCCAAAAATGATTGAATGGTTCGTCACTTTAGACTTCTTTTTAATCAGAAGATTTCCTGGTATAGAAAAAATTATTTTCTTTTTCAAAAAAATTCGATATGGTCTTTTGGTAAATCGGTAAAGTTTCGAAAACTTTTGTTGCTTTTTTTTCCTTCATGGAGTCAGCTTTTGTGTAATAAAATAGAGAAATTAATCTAATTATATAAAATTCAATTGATTGGTAAACCAAAAACTTATCAAAAAAAACTTTTCTACAAGAATTTGTTGCAAAATGAAGCGCCGAAGTAAAAAATGTTTTTTATTATTATTTCTTACTATTGCTGTTATTGCAGTATTACGGTATTATTATTCACTATTACTAATTATTACTTATTGTTTTTTTATTTTTATCAATATTGTTATCATTACTATTTAATTATTTATTTATTTATTGTTGCTAGATATCACGTTTTGAAATTCATCAATGACTAGCCCATTCGTTTTTTTTGGCTTTTGAGTTCCTTTAATAAGAAACTTTGCTTTTATTTACAAGAAGAGCTTATTATCTCCATTAACAATGGTTATTTATTTACTAATAATAAATAAAAACATAATTATGCAGGGCACATTCTGTAAGAGGGAGAGAGATGTGGTGCCTTGACTGAACTATTTCTTTTCTTCCAGTAGAGCCCATAATTTCTGATTTTATTCAATCCACGAACTGCTATAACACTTAATCATTTAGGAATAGAAACAAGGAAAGGAAACCAGCGATACTAAGGCTTTAATTGAACCGAGAAAAGATATTTTATAAAGACTAAAAAAATTTTTTTCACGAAGAGAAATCAATAAAATTTTAAAAGTTCTACTATTTCTTCGTGAACTTGCCTAATAATTTGCCACGTTTCGAACTATACCATCTTACTCTTATTTATACGTTTTTTGAGAAGCCATAATTTTTAGATGGGAAGAACTAAGCTTATTCATAAGAATTCAGAACAAGTAAGTAATGAATGGCTAACATGGAATTCATGTATATGCAAGATGGGTTGAAAACCAACTACGAGGAATAAGGCCGTTAATTATTTATTATTGATAACGTTTGGTGGAATATTTCGAGCAACGATTTTGATTCATTTGTTATGAATAGAATGCGCAAATATCAACTTATTTCTACATTCAAGTTATTTATTTCATAAAATTTTTGGAAACATTTTAAAGCCTCGATTTTCCTAAATTCAATGAATAAAAGAAGGTAAAATAGACGAATTGATAGTGACTCAGACACTATCACTGAGAAACAGAGGTTTTAATCGTGTCCCAGACAGGAGTAAAACTTTTTATCTGAAAAGTTCAGCTTGCGATCAGTCTGTATTTTTATCGCCAAATGACTACCTGGTGGAAAAAGAGAAAGGTTGAGCGCTAGCCAATTATTTTGGTTATTTAGAATGCCTATAACCTATCGTTTTTGTAATTTTTAATAAAAATTATTATATAACTTTTCATAAATTCCTTTTTTTTCAAGAATTTTCACCATTGCTGTTTAGACTTGTTCCGCTGACTTGTCGCACTGGACAAATTTGCCAGAGAGTCCCTTGACGATAGAAGTGAAGGTGTGTTGCTAGCATTACTTGGATTTTTAGACAGATTTATTCTCTGAGTACAATGTCAGCATCGGCGCTCCAAATTGAGCAACAACCCACTGAGCCATCTTACTCTCCCTATAACCTACTTGACAAAAATTTACTCTTCAGTAGATTTGAAATTCAATTTTAGTGATGAAAACATTTCAATTTTGCATGATAAAATAAGAAAAACTCAAAATATCTCCCTTTCTCGCTGAAGATCAGTTTTCCAATGTTTTATTGTATTAACCACTGTCATTAAATACCAGCTTTGTCTCGCTAAGATAGCTATGACGATTTTGCCAGGGGATCGCTTCTAGCACTATCCAGATTTTTTGATGTTATGTTCAGTAATTATATTCATAATAAGTAATGAGCAGTTGTATTCATACAAAGTAACAAGTAATAATAACTAAATAATATTAAGATAATGATTTATACATTCAATGATAATCTATGGGTTCTTGACACGCCACAGCGTATATTTTTTAATTTAGTCCATTCATTGTGATAACAGTTGTTTCATTTGTATTTCAGATAATTGTTGATGCTCCTGATATTTCTATTTTTACCTGTGGCCTCTGCCTTTGAATGTTATGTTTGTGGAGTATTTTTATCAGCTCCAACAAGTAATTGCAAGGGTATTCCGAAACCTATTAACTGCAGCGATTCTTATTCACCACATGGCTGTATTTCGATTATTGGTCGGCAAAAGGTTATTAGTTCTTTAATTGAGGCTTTTGGGACGGCTAATGCCATGAAATGAAAAAATGGGAAAAAAAATTTTTATTCACTTATATTTTTGATTAATTCTTTGGAGAGATGTAAGTGTGTCTCACAGAAACCATACAGATCTATTTTTATGAAAGTTTATTTCCTCAAAGAACCATAAGTTATTCTTTCTTAGCCGAAGCATTATGCGAGTAAGAATAATTATTAATTCCACTTTTTACCTTTAATTTACAACAAGAATAGCTATGTTATTGTTATTTTTATATGTTATCTTTATCTTTTCATTGAGATAAATTCTTTGATAATCGTTTTAGATAGCGCTACCAGGTAATTCTCTCTGTTTAGAATAAATGAGCTCAAAACTATATTCCAATGTATTCGATTGAAAGAATGGAAATTCTAATATTATTTGCAATTTTCATTTTTTTCAAGTTAACTAATTCAATTAATTTTTCCACTTTTTCCATTTTTTAGTTACAATTAGGTTTTTTAAAAAATATTTAATTTAATAGTTTTATCGTTTTATCTCAATCTCTCAAATATTCCAGACAACTGTTCTGAGTTTTTCGCACCATAACTTCTTTTTGGTTTCTCTGCTTTTTTAGCTATTATTTAGCTTATTTCATTTATTTTATATCAGCTACTTCTTTGTATTGCTTTTCTGCTTTCGTTATTCTACTAAAAAATTTACTTCCATTATTTTCTAATTTAAGCTATATAATTGAACAATAATTTTTGATTTTATCGAAAAGCTCGCGAAAGTTTTCAGCAAAAATATCTTCTTTTTTTTCTCTAGCACTCATCATTTCTGGTTCGACTCGTTCTATTAACTATTGGGATAATTATTTTGGGCATTATCATTTTAGCCAATTAGGAACAAAAATGGTAGAATCATTCCTGTTAAATCCAAGTCATGGCTTGAGATGGTGATCTGAGCAATATATTAATCAATATATTAATTTTTTACCAAAAGCAATATTTACCAGAAAAATTAAAAAAGTTAGAAATTTTCAATTAAAATTTCATTTTTGTTGAAGTGATTTTTAGCGATATTTTTAGATGAAGTAGGTGACGAAATGGTGGAAATATTAATTTTGAAAATTTTTACAGTTTTTAGCATTATATAATATTTGGCACCAATTTTTATATCAGAGATATTTAGGATGACACCTATTATGTAGAAAAAAGATGTGCCTCAGTTGAAGAAAGATACCTCGACAATGAACAGTGCATCGAAACAACAATCGAGTTTAATTTTTTGATTTTTTTTTCATCTATTTTTTCAGATTCTTTTTAAATTTTGGCTTGAATAATTTAATCTATTCATAAAGTATGGTTCTCTCAAAAAAATGTTGCACTTAAAGCGCAGTCCAACAGGAAGAGGAAGAGTAATGAAAATTTAACTGCTTATGACCCACTCTTTGCAACGGTCTTTGTCATATGTTATGGATGGAATTGCTCTTGTCAGAGCGTGAGTGCTGTAGTTTTAATCTTCTTGCAGAACCTGTCTTTTAAAAAAACTTAGGAGACGAGCCACATTTATGACAAAATTTGTTTGGGCCAACTAGTTTATGGAGTTTATGGAGCGAGTCTAACCAGCTATAATGAGTATCTACAAAAAAAGAGAAATATTATGTTTCATTCTTTGCCCAAAAACATTTTCACGATAAAATTTCTAATTTCTGCCTTGGTCAAAATTCGAATCTTTTTAAAATTCGTTTCTTCAACAAAATAATAAATTTTAATAGTTGCTTAATGATTAAAAATGGCAAGTCAGCATCTCGCAAATGATATTGATGGTACCTTGTAATATGCGAACCAATCAAAACAGTAAACAAAACTTTTTAAGCGATTAATTTTCAGTAAATTTTCAGTTGATTATTGAATTTAAAATTGCTTTCAGATCTCTTGCAGTAAAAAAATGCTTCTGTAAAGGAGAATTATGCAATAATGGTATCAATTTAAAATTTTTCATTTCAATGCTTATATTCGCTTTATTTTCGTCAACAATTTTAATGGAAGTTGCAAATTTAAATTAGTATGAAATAAATGGTCATTTATGGGAAAAAATATCGTTATGCTTTTTTAATATACAAGCCCAATGTATAATAGTATAAGTACTCCAGCTTTATAAACAGAAACTAATTCATGCCAACTATGGAAATTGGGGAATGTTTTAATGGACTCTTCGTTTATATTTGTAGTTTTTAAACCATTCATTGTTTCATAATATATAAAACAGAAATGGTTTCTATTAACGAATATCGATATGAATATCGAAATAAAATTATAAAAAATAGCAATTATGGGATTCACCATTCAACTATCAAATTGAATTTTTCAACAAAAATTCTGAGGGGGTGCATGTTTAAATTAGAATGAAATGAAATGATAAATGAGTAAATAAAATTGCAGAGATGGTATTACAGAAGTTTACAGACTTTGCAGATTTTTTTAAGCAAAAGTTATCGGACTATATTTGCATTTAATTTTTGAAAAAATTTTGGTTATCTTTGTATCTATTAACTTTAAATGCGGCAACCATTACTAAGTTTCAAGTTTTCCAAGAGATGAGTCAGATTCCGATAGGCACAGCAAGAGAACAGCACCAAATAATCTGAATAAAAATCTCATTAGCAGCACAAACTGTTGAACCAAATTTTAGCTATTTAAATTTCCACTAATTGTCGGAATCTTATTTGGCATTGCTAAACGTGCTTTCTTCAAGGTACGTGTAAAGAAATAAATGAAGAAAGAAAGGCTTTCTCATGCAAACATCCTTTCTTTTGCAGAAGCAATGCTTTTATACATTCTAATAAACGGAAAAAAATTTGAGCTCCAAAGAATGATCGCTTAATACTTGGCAGTCTACCAATAATTTCTAACCTCCATGTTTCGCAGTTGTCATATTGGCGTCAGACGTTTATTTCTCAATGATGATTTTTGCAGATTGATTAATATCTGTTAGCAGTATTATTGTGATGTGTCTACAGCTCATGGCAATCAAGGATTGCACGATGTAATTTTACAAAGTTAATAGGATTTGTCAAAAGCTTATTTGAATCTATGGTGGAGTAATGAATGGCAAAAAAAAATTTAAACATCATTTCTCCTGCTCATTGCTTAGAAAAATTTCATTAAAATTACCATAATAAATAGCAACTAATACTGCAAATAAAAGTAATAATAATGAAAAATTAGCGATAGTGTTTCGGCTTCTAAGAATATATATTATTTGAAATTTTCTGCAAGAACTATTCATAATGTGGTATTACGAATAGAAAGCGTGCTGATAATGATGAAAGGCTATGATAATTCTAGAAAATTTTATGTCACCTTCAAGCAAGAAAATAATAGAAAAGAAATGGAACAGAAGATCCCCACCTATAAAGGAAACCACTCAAATACTCACCTATGGTGAGGATTGTTCAAGTTCCGTCTACGTTAAGATCATCGCCTATGAGTACTTCAACATTTCGAAATAATCGTGATAGGTATTTCCCACTATTTCATTCTGTTTGCCAAATTCCTATGAGTATTAAAATTTTTTTCAAATAAGGAAAATTTTTTATATCCTTGCATTAGGAAGCATTAAGATCACTGGCTAATTTTGCGAAATGCCTTCAGCGATGATCTAGAAAATAATGGTCGAGATTTAGTTGCGGGCAAAATGATGTTTTGGTGTCAGTTAGAATTAAAATTAGTAAAAAATATAGAATTGTTCGAAGGATGCCGAAGAACGAAAGAGAATATGAATAGAGTTAAAGCTTTCAAAAATTGCTTTCTTGCTATCTATATCCTACAGTAAATCTTTGCAAATTCATGGTACAAAAAATTTGGAAGATTCATTTCGATGAATAAATAATGCCGCTTGACAAAACCCTAACTTTTCAAATTTTTCATCGAATCAGGAAAAATTCTTTAAGCTCATTTCGAAATGGTGCTAATTTAAACATTAATCATGAATATTTGCGAGTAATTGTTATGTGCAACTTACAATAATGAAGACGAACGATATCAATGAGCAGAATAGTTATTAATTAGTGAAAGCAATTAGGACAAATTATTCCGCCAGTATAGACATTTCTCGTTAGTGTTAGCAAATAGTTAATATTCTTTAAGCTCATTTCGAAATGGTGCTAATTTAAACATTAATCATGAATATGTGCTAGAAAAAAGATCAGAAAAAGCCGGTTTCTTGAAGTTTTTGAACAAAGAAGCGGAAATCTGCTGCTTCATTTAGCGTTAGACCAGAGTTCGAGCCTAGCACGATCTCAGCCATAAGCATTGTCATTTTTTCGATTTCGCTTCGCGACAAACCCATTTCGCTACCGAATACATCAACTGTTGGAGATTCTGAAAAAAAATTTAAATAAGTTCAAATGGTTCTTGTTTGGTGCTCAAACCTCAATCAACTGCATAAAACTGTAAAGTGAAAAATCATAGCAATGGATGTATTAAGATGGAAAATTAAGACTAGAGTTTATGTAAGACTTTATATTAAAAATCATTAATTAGCAATATTTTTCATATTAATTAACCACTAGAGGCCTAGGAAGTTTTGCGAAAAGGAATGTTTAATATACAAATAACATTAAAATTACGCTTTTGCTGCACTAATGTACTCGTAAAACAATGTGATATTGTTAAAATTAATTTGATCTAGAAGCTTTTAAGGAAAATATATTTTTCGAAATGAATATTTAGAAAAAAAGAAAAGCTAGGATTATCTGCAGATATGCCAAAATCGGCAAAAAATATGATGAATAAAATTAAGATATTCATTAAGATATGATGCATTTAATATTAAGATAATGAATTTTTTGAAATCCTGACAATGATCGAACCGACCTGATAACGCGACTGCGACTTTGTCGACACCGCCCATGCCTTCTAAACGATTTCTTCCTTTAGGTCCAAAAACTTTAACGAGAAAGTCATCACCATGAGCATGAAGCAGAGCTTTCAGAAATGCTGCTGTTTCTTCAACAGGTGGTCTTGTTGCTAAAAATTTAAATCTTTTTTAAATCAGTTATCTATGCAGTCGTTCATAATTTTTGACTTAATATCATATTACCCTTTTCACTGTGAGGGCATAGGTTATGATAGTTCCTTGAAAAATATGGCACTGATATAATATAATACAATAATACAATGATACGTCAAAAAAGGTTTTTTTTATTTCTCATTTTTGGTTAGGCTCATTGGTAATTTGTAGGATCAAGTAAGCTTAGCCAGAGTCATCTGGCCGTAGAAATATAGGTGGGTGGCCAGCATCGTCCAAATTTTTGAAATGCCATATGATTACTTCTGCCGAGAGTAATCCGCAGAATCTGCGCTTCGAAAAGAGGATGACTACTGAGCCATTCTGCTTTTTGTTGCATTCCTAAGTTCAAATATTTTATAATAAAAATTTTCCTATAAAATCTTGTAATAAAAATTTTGACAATATTCATTTTCATGCATTTTCTACAATATTCCATGTCTTTTCTCATTGTATTCTAGAAACATCTGATCTGCGACATAAATTTTCATTTTCAACGTAAGATTAGCTTTCATTATTAATTAAGAGAATAAGAATGAAATCGGGAAAATCTCTCTATCAGAACGTGCAAAGATGCAAAAATCTTCATTAAAAATCCTGGTGGTGGTGCCGATCCATTTGAACTCCTATAGTGATTCTAAAGTATATATGGCAATAAATAGATATTACAATAGAACCTAATAGGCCTAACATTTTTGCATTTAATGATGTTAATTATTAATGATGTGATAGCGTAATCGGTCTTAAATTAATAAGTGAGAATTTCACAGTTTTAATGTAGAAAAAGATATGAACCCCCCTAGAAGCAGTTCATTAACATATTTAAAAATAAAATTTTCCGGCTAAATGATTTCCGAATGATATGAAATGGTTATATTAAATGATAAACTAAAAACTGGCAATTGCTAATATTTATTTAATTTCTTATAGAGCAAAAATAAAACCCGATAAATAAAAAAATAAAATTAAAATAGCCATAATAATGATTAAATAATAGATTTCTGCTCAATGTGAGAAATATCAAAGACTTTCAAAATTTGACTTTGAAAATAGATGTCAGCTAAAAATGAATTAAACGCTGGATTAATTCAAGAGAGAAAGATGAACGCTTAATTTTGAAGCGGGATTTGAAATTCCATGCAAATTTTTTTCATACATATTCTTTATATTCTTTGATGGAATTTGCCGACAATAAACTAACATTCTATATTTTTAATTCTATTATGCTATATTGATTGCATTATAAGTATTTGCCACAAAGAATTCAAAAAAAATTTATTAGGGTTTAACTTCAGTTTTTCTTTTATTAGCATTACTCTCTTTGTAATTAGTTGAGGTATGTGTTTAGATAAGGCAGTTCACATTCATGAAATCTAAAGTCTGTCAACATTTCGCGAAGATATAACATAGAGACCAATGAAGATATGACCTTTTAAGAACATTCTAAAAGGACAAGCGGAGAAGTAAAATAAACAGAAAATGAGATGGAGAAGAAAGAAAATGAAAATGCTTAGAAATTAAAAAAACAAACCAGCTGTGCACATACTTCTGTTCTCATCATATTCATCTTCGCAATCTGGCGAACCATCACAGAGGTACTTTATTGGGACACAATCACCATTTGGGCATTGAAAAGGTTGCCAAGTTGGACAATTAACTGAAATAAAATTTATAGTTCTGGATTGGCCTCAATCCTGAAATTATTTTTAACTCTATATTAATTCAATCAGCTATGCATAAAAAAGAAATGAAGAGGCAGAATGAATTATTACATTCGGCAGAATATATAGGTGAAATAGGTGATTACGGCTAATGATGAATACGGTAAATGAAAAACAATAAAAACGAAGAATATCAATAGTACCAAGGTATTGGTGAAAAAAATACTATATTTTCTAAACATTAATTATTTATTCCGAGAGATGATTAATTCTTAATGATGATTACACAAATATTGAAGGAGTGGCCGATACTGAAACTTCTTTTATTCGCACTGTAGGATTTGAATCATTATGCTCAATGATGATAATCTATGCAGCAACCATATAGATGAAATCAATGAAGCATGTTTCTTGTAAATTAATCGTCATTTTATGTTTGCTTAACGTTTGATTAAGTTTGGATAAAAGCTATTCTAAATGGATTAAATCCATTAATATTCAATAACCTTCAACATTTCCTATTTCCAGCTTCAGCTTTAATGAGCGGAAAGCTTGTCATAAAATCATGTGTAGCTAGCTAGCCCAAAATGTCTATAGCACCATTATGCAATTAATTCCACATGAATAATTTTTATATGAAAGCACAGCAAGCAATCATCGCTACTCTTCTCTACTCAACGAATTTTTTTTCGATAAAGATTGGTAAGATAATTTAACTTAGCAGTCAGAGTGGATGATGAGTGGTAAATATGTCGAAAAAATAAGTTAGGTATTCGGCTTTAAAAAAAATCACATAAAGTTCAATATTTTTTAACTGCTATTCATAGTTTCTTTTTCAACAAAAACCAAAAATATTCTAAAAAAGCAAAACCCTTCAAAGTTGAAAATGCTGAGCTGAAAAATAAGATTTAAAAACCAGCAGTGATCCCAAATGAGAATATAATCTTTCATTTAAACAAGTATAAATTAATTAAGGCGATTTCGGTATATTCAGTTAAATTTAATGTTTCGCTATTTAGTCGAAAATACTTTTCCTCTTATTTTTTAAGGAATTTATTTGTTTATTGGACTTTGCAACCTGAAAATTTTCAGTTTTATATTTTATATTATTATATTAGATTTAAAAATCCTCAGTTAAACTGATAAAGAGGAGCTTAATGACAAGATGGTGGCCACCGAGAATCGAGAATGACTCCGGATCAAATCCAACCGACGCATTACGTTTCGTCGAGCTTCTATGTTGCCAAAAATAGCTCAGCCAGTTGTCAATTAGTACGGAGCGCCGATTTTGAGGTTCTACATTTAACAAGAGTCCTTCATGTCCTTCAAATTCCAAGTGATATAGTGATTCATCTTTACTTCAAAGTGAATGTATGGCAAAATTCATTAGATGCGACAAGCCAGCAATGCTGAGAGCGCTCTCAGAAAAAAACTGGTGAAAAAGACGGAAAACAAGTCAAGAAAGAGATTTAAATGAATTAAATACACTTTAAATAAACAACAATCTTATTTTTTCGAAAATTAAGTTTTTTTGAAAGCTGATGAGAGGTGTGCATAAATCGTATTCAATAAATAATTAATAAGAAAAATTTAAAATATTGTAAAATCTATACCATGGCTTGGATTATTTCTTTTACCACCACGTATATATTCTTGAATGCTGAATGGATTAGCAAAAGATGTTGTTACGGAGGCGATAATTATCGGAAGGAGTGAAAAATAGAACGACATGAAGCAGAAAGGAGCACCCTGTAATTGAAACTTTTCAACTATTTACATTTTTGAAAAAGTCGCTCAACAGAGTACGCAAAAAAGCAAAATATAAAATGGAGCTTTCACAATTTTAGTCTTCATATTTCCAAAATAAATTCTATGAGAAATTGAAATTTAAGAATACTGACATATCTCGATCACTGAACTTTTATGAAATTTTATTCCACTTCTTATAATGGCCAAAATTTCTTTCTTAATATTTTTTTTATTAATTTTTCGCTATAAATTTTTTTGTTGCTCATATTATATGCCTGCAGCTATGTTTTATTCGAAAATCTTAATATGCACTGAATAACTCCGACTTTACTGATATTTATTCATTAAATAGCTCACAGATCTTATTAAAAGCTCCTCAACTAATACAGAAAAATTATAAGTAATTGTGAAATACTAAAATATTAGCGAGATGCAACAACAGCAATTAACAAGCTGCTCGACCAAAAATTTTATAAACTGCAAAATAAACGATCATCCTTCTACCTATCATTATTTTCGCATAATTCAGCAAAATATTTTATTAAATCAAGTGCTTTCCTATTAGTTCTTTTTTACTACAAATTGCAAATTTATTGCACCATTATGATCATATAGATTTTTTTCATAAAATAAAAAATACATAAATTTGATAAAAATATTTGAAAGCAAAAAGGAACCAATTGAACCAAATTTTAAAAAAATCCTTAAATCCTTAAAAACATCGTTAAAAATAAAATTTCGAATATTTCTCACTTGTTTGATTATTTGAAATATTTTATAAAATTTATTTGATTTATTTGCATCAATTATATGAAATTTTTAAAAAAAATTTTGTTAAAAGTCTCCAAGAAAAAAATTTAAAACAATAGCGAAATTAAATTTTTCTGAACTGATATTATGATTGATAAAAATAAACGAAAAATGAAAATGGGCGGATTTCATTTTTATTTCATTTCTTTATTATGGTCTATATAAATATTTGTCTATTAAATATATATATATATATATATAGATAAATTTTTCCATGCACATTCGTACAATTTTCGACCCTCCTTTTCATTTCAATTTAATCTTTTTAAAGATTTTATGGGTTTAACGAACTAAAGAAAAAAAGGATCAAAAAAAAACGATGCGTTGTTGTTTTGATTGATTTCAATTTCAATTTTAGCATTCTTAAAATGAATTTTGTTGAAGGGGTTAAAGAGGTCAAATGATATTTTGTGATGAAGCCAAGACAGCTTGAATTTTTGCCTTTCGGTAAAAATGAACCTGTCATTAATAAGGAAATACGACGGGTGCTGAGGACCAACCTGTATATTTATTATCAAGTGAGTCGCTGACGAAGAGATCTCATTCCATTAACCAGTGTTGCTGATCAGGATAAAAATTATCAGAGCTATTTGAAAAGGAAAATTTAGATAGTTTCTGGTGAGTTTTATTGTATGTATTGAATCGATGCATCAAAAGGCGTTAAATTTTGGTAAACTTTTGAAGTGCGTTTGTTTGAAAACGTCAATTTTTTGGGAAAAAATTTAATCCTCTATTTCCATCGCATTTTCGAGCATATTTTTTAATAACATATAAGGATTTTGATTCTTATATATATATATATATATATATGGAAGATCTCAAAATTTCCAACTTGTCATCCTAATGAATTTTTCTGACAGCGTTATGAAATTTTTATTTGCTTGAACCAATTTATTTTATGGCAAAAAAAATTATATAATGAAAAATTTTTTAAACTCGTTATTAGCAATCAAAAAAGAAAGAAATATAAGTAAATAACTTTAACGACGAATTATTTTAACATGAATTGCTAAGACAAAAATATTTCTGAAATAAGTAGCTTTGCAGATATAAGAATTAGGCTTCTTCATAATATATAAGTAAGACGATAATTTCAAAATATTTCCAGTCCTTTTTACAATCTAATTTTTGTTTCTTAAAAAGAGGTTAGATTTTAGATTTTAGATTTTAATTTAAGCTTATCTTCTTTCGTCCTCAAAATAACAGTTCGCACTATGCTTTTGCTTTCTGAATATTTGATTTAGTTTTATTGGAGGAGTTATAGGATTTTTACAAAACTGCCACGTTCTTTTCTCACTCTCCAGATATAGTTTGCGATCATAATCTTCGTAGGAAAGCGAATTACACAAAATACATTTTAAAGAAATGTATCTCCTACTAATATATTTCCTAACTATACATGATGCCATGCTAAAATTTATTATCGCATTTGGTGTTTTATCTTTTATTCATTAGAAAACAAGTAATGTATATTATGCATTAAGCCATTAATTTTTAAAACATTAATTTTTTTTCAATGGTTTAAGAATTTTGCGCATATAGAATTTTGGAATTGTTAATAAATAATACAAGTAGACAATTCATTATCAATTTTTTCTGATTAATACAAAAAAATGTTTGCACGTATTTTAATAAAAAAAAATCAAAAAATTGTACATAGAATAAATCTATTCGAAAAACATTTAGATTTAACAATAAAAATTGATTATCTCATTATAAAAAAATTGAAAATAGATATTGTAAGTTTTTTGATGAGGCACAATACCATTTCTCGTTTAATTAGCTGCACTGGTTACTTGATAAGACACTTCTTTGTCAGAGTCGTTTGAGGACAAAAGTGGAGTTGGTTCACTAGCACCACATAGTTTTCAGTTTTATAGCAGGTTTACACTTTTCGATAAATAAGAATCGAATCTGCGCGGCTTGAGCTTAGGCTATATACTTATTATCCAACTATCTTATCCCCAAAATGTAGCCTAATAGGGCAAAAAAATGCTCTCGAAATAGAATGGTTCCTGCTACAATAGAATTAATGTTTCTTATTTTAAAAAGAGTCTAGAAGAAATTTCTTAGATCTACCAAAGACTCAACATGTTAACAATAATTTAACAACCAAGAATTGGTATTCGAATTTCGACTAATATCAACCATGTTTACAAAAAATGAAATGTCACAATTTTCAGATGGGGAACAAAAAATAGACTTCGAATTAACAATATTGCTTCTTGTATCGAAATAAGGAATTATGAGAAATTTCAAACCAAACCCAGTTGATCGTAAACTCTTAAATCTATGGATTTTTTACATTCGCTGAAAATCTGATTATTAAAATTTTTAGTTATTGAAGATCTTCACCGTTTTGTTGCCTAAACTCTTCTCATAATGACCATGGAAATAACATAGCAGAGTGAACAGCGACTTAGACTTTGTGCTGAAAGGCAAAGGCTCCACTCTTATGAAAATAAGCAAAAAGTGAATTGAGGAAAATTGTTTTTAACCTATTTATGATTTTTTTTCCAGCATATCGCTGGATTCTTGCTAGAATTCATTCATCATTTCGATGAAACAAAAAATTC